TTCATCTTCTAAACTTACGATTCTCTTGATGGTTTTATCCATTTTATAATTTAGTTTACGTACATATGTGCAGAACTTACAGTTACAGTGGTTTCCCTTCAATAGGCTGGGACTGTTTTTTCCTAAAATATTCCTTATGATTTCTTCCATACATATTTTTTAAAAGTCTGTAATTCACTTTTTTATATTCTTCACTTGGAGATATGACTGTGATAACAACTTTGAAAAGAAATAATAGTTGAGTTTAAATTATTGAGGATTAAAATTTCTGATCCATGTGTGAGGCCTGAAAATTGTTTTAAGTTCAGTAAACCATTGTTGAGACCTGAAAATTATTTCTATTGGCTAAGACATAACAGAGGTAAATCATAAACTTTCTATCCAGTCTTCAATGAAAGTGCTTTCACTGCGCATATTTTGCTTAGAAAATAAACCGGCTTTGTTAAATTTAAACATAAATGGACACTATTCTATCAATTTTGCACTGATTATCAAAAGTTTTATACTGAAGTCTTTGCACAATAGTGAATACAGAGTGCTACTGTGATGTTTTCAGTATGTTTGCTTGGAAGCAAATCAGCCTGCTGTCAAAGCCAGAGTGAAATTCACAATTCTTATAAATGTTATTTTTATTCTTGATTCTAAGAAATCAAGTACATTATTTTGTTTCAACATTGAATCTGAACTAACAAAGGATGAAATGAAGCAAGTGGGACATGGAGTTGAAAATAAACCTAAGCTCAATAATGAGTGTTCAATGTATCTATACTAAAGTTTGAGTTCTGGAAAATCAACCACATTTTTTTAGATCCTATTTGCATGATATAATATTGTATATTTTTACAAAGAATATTTACTTTCCTCATTAATTTTCATTTGTCTAACAATTCTATGTAACACTGTCATTCCCAATAAGTCTAATGAAATAGTTCTACTTGTACCCTCCAAGTCGCACCCAACTGGCTGCTTCTTGGGTCTCTCAATTTAATTCCCATAATAGTTAATTTTAAACTCTTTTATTTATTTAAATACTACAGCCCTGTAAATGTAGTATCTCCAATCAGATCAAAGCTCTTCAAGAACAGGAGAAAATTTTTCAAAATTCAATGAATATTTATTTGGTTCTTGGGATAAGTCAAATAATGTAGTGAGAAGCTGAAAATTCAAAGATGAATAAGATACTCAAGAATTTTGAAGGCAATTTGTAAGAAGCACGATGGTGTAGATGTGCACAGAGTGTTGTGAATCACAGGGTAATGAATAAAATCTAGGGCTGGAAAGAGGTTAAGAGACGTGAAATAAAATATAAAACATTCAATTTGTGTTTCAATTAATGATTAGAGGCATTTCTCATGAGTAAGGAGGAAGAGATAGAGAATAAGACTAGGTTATGGGTTTTCATAAAACATGGCCTGCTTGGGAAGGGGATTGGAATAATTGTATATGGTCACAGGCTGCCAGAGAGGGAATAGTGGGAAATAATGTTAGACAGATAGAAGGCAGTCAGATTGGGAAGGGCCTAAATATTTATCTTTTTTTTTTTAGTATTTGTATTTTCCTTGTAGAAAATGGAAAGACATTGATCTATATTAAATTGGAGGTTTTAAAATGAAATATCACTTTCTTTAAGAAGCAGTATCATATTCTCCACCTCTAAATTAGATGCCTTTTATGTATTCCCAGATTTCATAGTATGCTGTACTTCATTCTACCATAGTACTTATCATAGTTTTGTAATTGTGATGAGAGAGGTGTGTGTGCGTGCGTATGTGTGCGTGTGTATCTGTAGTCTGTTTTAATTTTTTATTCAATTAATTTATTTTTGCAGACAGGGTCTTGTTCTGTCACCCACGCTGAAAGGAAGTAGCATGATAACAGCTTACTGCAACTTTGAGCTCCAGGGCTCAAGAAATTCTGCCACTTTAGCCTCTTGAGTAGGTAGGACTACAGGAACACGTCACCTCTCCTGTCCTGGCTAAGTAATTGTGTGTGTGTGTGTGTGTGTGTGTGTAGATAAGGGGTCTCTCTATGAGCTCCCAGACTGGTTCCAACTCCTGGGCTCAAAACATCTTCCTGTCTCAGCCTCCCGAAGTGCTAGGATTACAGGCATCAGTCACTGCGCCTGGCCTATGTCTGCAGTCTATACTAAACTTTAGGCTTCTGTAGAACTCTGACATACCTTATTCTCCGTCATACTCTCATTACTAGCACTTGGCTTAGCCCATGGTGGATTCTTAGTAAATATTTGGTGAATATATTAATCACATTTTTAAGATGAGAACTCTGAGATGAGTGTCAAAGATGCAGAGAAGTGAGGTAGATAATCAAGGAGAGTGGCAAAGTATGAATTTAAACCTGAGACATTATTTTATAGTATATCTAGTGAATATGCTATGCATTGCTAATTATAAATAATCCAATGTTTGAAGGCTTAGGTTAATTTAACTAGACCATTAAAATATTGGAATTTTCTAACTATAGGCTTAAGTCAATTAAACCATATTCAATCACATGAAACCATTTGTCATAAATCTTATCTTCTTTCTTTCTGTGGCAACAGAGATGGTACTAACATGGGGATGGTGATATTGAATCTATATCTAATGGGATAGTCTATCTCATAGCCAAACTCATATTTATAGTATCTTGTCTTAGCTTTGACAGTATGATTCAGTACCCCAAGTCATTTCTATTTATCTAGACTACCATTATATTCATGAAGCCTCTGATAGATCAATGGAACAGAGCAGCCTGGTATAGCAAGAAGAACCCTGCTTTAAGATAGAAGTCTTTAGTAAAAGTCTCAGCCTTGGAATTAAGCTGTCTTGTGACTTTGGACAAGTTATCAGAGCCTGCAGCTAATGCTTCTGATTCCAATTTTTAGCAGATTTAAGTGAGGCAAATTATACAAAGTCTCTAGCACCGTAACTGGCATATTGGAGGTTTTGGGCTCCTCTCTAATCACCTCCCTCAGCTTCTTCATTTATTAAAGTAGGAAGTTTAGTGGCAATCCTTTCTGATGTCATCATGAGTATATGATTCTATTGAGATGAATTATAAAACTATACTTCACATAGAGTAGACAATTGTCTCTCAAATATGGCAGAACATTTAAAAAGGGAAACTGAGCAAAGTTTTCTAACATTGGATGTAAAAAAGGCCTACTATTTTTAATGGGTTTCTAAAAAAGAAGTCCCTTAATACAAGCATTGCCTTCTGGAAAACAACAGCAATAACAAAAGCATTGGAAGAATCATACAATTACTTTTGCCTGTTCGTAAATGAAAGAATGATGCAGCGCTTCTTGGAACTGAAAAGCATTTGAGAGCCATGCTTAGCTTGAAATCTTCTTAGAATTATTTAGCCTTATTTCTAAGGAAGAGTAGCTTTTATTTTTTACATATAACCACTTTCATCTTGTATAAAAATTAGAAGGACTGAAAATGGCAGTCTTCTACAACCCTATGCTGTAAAGGCCTAGAGGGGAATTTTGAGAAAAGAAGTAAAAACTGCCTGAAATGGTTGGATATAAAGTGGCATTTTTTTTCTAAAATGATTCTGACTTGTCTTTCAAATTTTTTGAATGAAACAGAAAAGAACTAGCTTCCGATTAATCTAGAATATAGTTTTTTATCATTCTTAAAAAAGTAATCCATTCAAACATTTCTTTAAGAAGCCTTGTCTCATAAAGTCAGTCAATCTTTTTAGATTTGAGGAATAATGAGTATCTGGTAAGAGGATAATCAGGTTAAAGCCAGCACCACTATGGAAAATTTTCTTTCTTGAATCTACGAGGAATGTTTGGCTTTTCTAAAGCCTAAAGTCTTGTTCCCAAACCTCCTTACTTTAAATCCAAGTTAATGAAGCATATTAACTACTATCACTTAGTTACTGTGCTAAATAGTATTAATTTTATAATGTACTGTCTTTGCAAAAGCAAGTATATATATAATACATATATTTATATAATTTTTCACTTCTATTTTATTTTAAATATTTAAATTTTAATATAATATACCAAAAATACTATAAATATTTTTCCTATATATAAGAAAAAGTGGAAAAGCACATACCAGACTATTGGTGGTGGTAGATTCTCGGAGAATAGATAGTACAGAAAATTCTCTTTCTATGCTCTATTTCTTGAACTTTTGAAAGAATATAAATATCTTTGGTAATTAGAAAATATTTCCTAAAAAAATTAGTAGATGAACATAAGAAAAGACTGAAATGTGAAGGCTATTGTATAAACAGGTTCTGTTTAAGACAAGCTCTTTCTCTGTCTTGTTCAGTATTGTGTTTCACAGTGCCTGCCTCACAGAAAGCACTTAATACATATTTCTTGAATGACTAAATCAAAACATTAAAGAAGCTGCCACAACTAATTTCGAAGCTGTCTTTAGAGACCACATGAAATCTTTCTTCATATGGGAACATTTGCATTGTTAGACTAGGATAATACATCTTTGACCACTGGTGTGGGAATACATGCCTTGGAAATCCTTTCAGGTGCAAGCCTTTGTAAATATAGTCATTCAGCAAGAAACAAACAAACAGAAATTGTATTCATTATGTTTTCTAGAATGGCTCTTTTTTGTAGGATTATAGAGTTTTATTGTGCATGACTTAACATACTTTGCATTTGGCAAGATCCACAAAATGAGAGGAATAGATTCTGGCTCCTTCTTATCTACATGTATCTTCTTTTTCTGAGAGTGTTTTACTGGCAGTCTACCCAGTAACACTAGCAAAGGATACATGTTTCTTTTTGCTTTCATTCATAAGCACTTTTCCAATTTCTAACAAAGAGAACTTGAGAAAACTCACTGAACCTTAGAATTTCAGTCATTCCTGGTGGTATTGAGGGAATGTGTTCTCTTTCTGGGTCCATGAGGGGCTGTAGTTTTAAGGGCAAGAATTTCCCAGTGCTATGCCCCTCTTCCATCTCTCTCCATCCGAAGATTTAATGGTTTATGTTTGAATTTCACGCGGGCAGGAAGAAACTAAAAGGCAGTCACTCCAGCGGAAGTTCTAAGGAACTCCTTTCATTGGCCCAGGGTCTTGGAGAAGGTGGGGCTTCCTCCCAGGATAAAATTCCGTGTCCACACACCTGGCCGGATGTTCCCCTCAGGAAACACCCTCTATACTCTTTGTAGAAGTCTTTCTCTTCTTCTCCTTTCCTTCTCTTCTCTCTACCTAAATAAAATCACCTTTCTGCAACTCTTCTTACGTCCAGTATTTACTTTTACGAGCATAAGGCGGACCTGCAATGGTCTCATAGCTTACTGTTTAAGAGATTGGAGGCCAAGAACCCACAGCATTCTCTCAGCTGAGTTGTGCCTTACCAGCACCCAAGAAAAAACCCGGTGTATTATAGTTTCTTCTGTCACAGATATTCTAAGGGTGCGATAAGGGGTAATGCTTTCCTTAGATATGTCTACAACAACTACAGATGCAGTAGCAACTACTATGTTCTGCAGACCTACTATGTTTGGCATAATATACATTTTCTAATGCAGTTTTTCTAAAAACCCCATAAGGTAGGCATTTTTATATTCATTTTTAGATGACAAAACTGAGGCTCAGATATATTAAATGTATTAATACGAGGCTTGTATTAAAATGACTTACTTGAGATTCAATTCTAGTAGGTCTGAATCTAAGGATGTTTGCTGCGGTGGCTGTTTTGTTTTGCAACTTTCCTGTAATCTATTGTTCTTAAGGCTTCACTTGACAGCTGCCCCTTCTATGTAAGGAGCATGCATAGCCTGGAAAATTCTGATGAAATTTTGAGTACAATCCTGAAATGGCAGAGCTTGGATTGCACTCAAACTGTCACATGCTTTCTAGCTATGATAAATGGGCTTGAACTCATTAGTGATGGATTTCTAGCAGCAGCAATTGCACAGGTAAAACTTCTTAACTAAGCAGACATTAAATCATTCTGGCACTGTAAAATGTCATACGTGCTCTCAGTGTAATCACCTTTTTGTTTCTTTGCTACATTTGGAAGAGTAAAATCAGGAGCATTAGATTAATGCCAAATCCCACCAAAAGTATAGGCTAAATAAAGAGGTATTTTGGGAAACCCACTTCTTGTGTCACACTAAGCTTTCTTAGATCTTGATTATTTAATGCCAAAAGTACTAGTTGAATTACAGTCCTGTACACTTGAATGCAGAGGGGTAAGTGGACTCAGCTCCTGGTGGAAGTATACCTTAATTTCCTTTCTCCTCACTCTGGCAGATCCTCATCTCTCTCTACCTCTCTGGCTACAGGAATTCGGCACTTTGCCACCCAGTCAGCTTCTGAGACAGCGTAATGAAAGTTAATGGACCTCCAATTCAGGTAATTCATATGAATTAAACATAACTTAGGAAAGCATTTAGGGCTCTATAAAATCAAATTTAGAATACTACATGCAGAGGTCATAATAGTCCAAACTTTCTGCCACACAAAATAAATTAAATTTATTTGAAATATCTAAAAAGTATTAGAAAGTCAGGGAGAATAGAATTTTTCCAAGTCTTTTGCAAAATAAATAATCCCAGTAATGTTTTCTTTCTTGATTTGTCAGAAATGTTTTGTGATCTGATTCAATGATTGCTTACACATTTTAAAGTACACGTAGAAAAGCCCTTTAACATATAATAAACTTATAGAAATTGTTTTATAATTTCTAAAATTCTACAAAAAGTATGGTGCAATATGGAATATAGACTACAGAGGAAAAGGGTAGTATTTGTGCAGAAACCACATAAATTCTATGATGGATGAAAGAGAATGAACGGGACCTTGAATTTGCTTTAGAAGAGGCATAATAAACTTACTGCTGAAAACCATTTAATCCTTTCCTTAGTTACAGATTGAGCTTCATTTAAAGCAACCCAGAGGGACTGCCAAATTCTCTTCAGGAGCTAAATTTCTCAATTCCACAAATATTTACTAAACTAAAGCATTATGAATTCAAATATAAAAGTCAGTAATGTGCTGTCCTATCCTTAGTAATCTACAGTTAGTTATTAGATAAGGCAAGTACTGGCATCTTACAGTGTGAGGAAGAATGTAATAGTGGCCACAGGCAAAACACAAAATGCTCTGTGAGTTTTTTGTAAGGAAACTAAATCATGTTGAAGTCTGCATGGTAGAGTGAGAAAATATACAACTGAGGTTTAAATATGGCTTTTCCACCTTCTAATTTTGAGTCCCAGGCAAATTATTTAAACTTTTGGAGCTTTAGCTTCTTTTTATATAAAATGCCCTTCGTAAGTGTTTTGTACAAGATTTTCTCATTATATGTTTATTAATTCTTAAGAAGTATGTACTGATTGTCCACTGTTTGCATGGTTGTATAGCTGTATGGTGTATAGTATAGGTGGATAGCAAAAGTATGGTAGGTGCTATGATAAAATGGATATGCGGATTATAGCAGGGCCTTACTGAAGAGTGTAGTCACTACTGCTCAAGGGAGATCCACAATCTTTTGTAGAGGAGCTGCCATTATGATCTTTCCTTTACAGATGAGAACACGAAAGCTAAGAACATTTGAATAATTGTCCCCAGGGTGGACAGTTACTAAGTGGCTGAGCCAGGAGCCAGGATTCCAGCATTTTTACATGAGGCAATCAATTCTGTGTTAGCTTTGAAAAGCATTATCAAAATAATGGGACCTAAAGGAATCATTTACATCAATGGGAATGTGCATACTACAATGTCTCAGAGCATTTTAAGCACATTGATATTTCTTTTTAGCAATTACTTTTTATAATTAATGGTGACATATACTCACTCGTATAACTGTTATGCCAAGCAGGCTTTTAAATAGTATGTGGAAATATTTAAGAATTCTTCTAGTTTCAGGTTACTTTCAAAGAGTTTTTGTTTCCAAACCATCTCAGTGGAGATAAAATAATCTGTCTTTGTTGTTCAATAATAAGCTTTCCTGACCTCACCAAACTCATATTTTTATCCTATGTCAAGTCACTATTCTTTTATACAAATGCATAAGGCCAAAAAAGATTTTTTTTTCCTTATTGCTTGGGACATTCTTATAAATCAATCCTCTCAAAGGGGAGAAATCTATCCTGTACTTTCTCATTTCCTCCCATTTTCCCATTGCTCTCATACAGGGTAGGAAATGCTGGTGACACTTCCCCCTGCCATTTGAAGGCAGCTGCTATTGCATGGCAAAGCTGCTGAGGAACTGCTAGAATTGATCTTACAGTAAGTGCCTCTCAGTAAGTGCCTTTGTCATTGTCTTCCTCCCTTTGCCTCCACTGTGGATGCAATAATGGTTCGTGTATTACTGCATGAGCAATCACAAAGAGAATATACAGCAGATTCTAAGTTAGAGTAGATACAGAAAATGAGAATAGGGTCCCCAACAGAGACAGATTATTTTATCTCCACTGAGATGGTTTGGAAACAAAAACTCTTTGAAAGTAACCTGAAACTAGAAGAATTCTTAAATATTTCCACATACTATTTAAAAGCCTGCTTGGCATAACAGTTATATGAGTGAGTATATGTCATCATTAATTATAAAAAGTAATTGCTAAAAAAAAAATCAATGTGCTTAAAAATCAGGTGCAGATGACTGATTTTTAATGGAAAATGGGAGAAGATCGAAGGCTGTTCATGTTTTCCAGAACCCACAGGTGTTTTGACTTGTGTCCCTGACATAGCTGTGGGGAGCTCATCAATATCATCTCTTAATAGTAACTGGAAATCCACTGGGGTTAGCTGACTTTTCTGTCTTACAGGCACAAGAATCTTTCTGTAGCTTTGTGGTTAACGAGAGAAATGGAATTAAAATACTTATTATCTTTGACAAATAGCAACAGGGAAGCATATCACCTGGGACATGCCTATCTTGTTCTCACATGATCAACTAAAGGTGACCTACAATAATGGAATTATTGTTTATTATAGGGCATGAATGTATTAAATAAGTTGGGGACTCTCGTAGCAAAATCTGTATGGCTCTGGATTCTTTTACTTATGATAAAGATCAAAAATGTAGACTGTGATTTCTTTTCCCCTGCTGTACTGTAAGCCTTTATTTTTCCTTTTGTGGAAATACTATATTCTATTTACTAGTTGCAGTGGTTTTTAAACTTTAGTGTGCACAAAAACTTTCTGGAATCATGTTTAAATTGAAATTGGTGGGTTCATCTTCAGATATGCTAATTCAGTAAGATTGTGGTGAGACCCAGGAGTATGCATTTTAAAATTGGATCTTGACTGAGAAAAGTATTACATAAAATGGCTGACTAGTTGCAGCCAGGAGAAACTGCTGCTACCAATAGACCAGGACATTGGGAAGACAGAGACACTATGAGCAGATTCTTCAGATGAAAGGCATTGAGAGCAGATAGAGGGTGGACACAGACACTAGGCTGAAGAGGAAGGAAGCTGGGAACACCACCCAGGGCTACTGAATACTGGGACTCATTCCTAAACCCTGGTGACTCTGTGGGAAGGAAAACAAACCAGTCCACTGAACCCAGTGTATACCACAAACAACCCCCCACAGGAATCACAAAAGATAAAAGCAAAGCAAAACAAAACAAAACAAAAAACATGGAAAGAATAGCAACTCCAAAGATTGAAGGAACATCAGCCCAAACAGATGACAAAGAACCAGCAATTAACTCTGGTAACTCAAAAATCCAACATGTCTTCTTACCTCCAAATGACCAAACTAGTTCCCCAGCAATGGTTCCCAATATGGCTGAAATGATGGAAATAGAACTTATAATATGGATAGGAACAAAGATCATCAACATTCAGGGGAAAGTCAAAACCCAATCCAAGGAATCTAAGAAATACAATAAAACAATACAAGAGAAAAAAAAGATGAAATTGTCATTTTAAGAAAGAAACAAACTGTTCTGATAGAGGTGAAAAACTCACATCAATAATTTCAGAATATAATCACAAGTATTAATAGCAGAATCAACCAAACTGAGGAAAGAATCTTAGAGTTCAAAGACTGGTTCTCTGAAATAACTTAATCAGACAAAAATAAAGAAAAATCAAATAAAAAGAATGAACAAAATCTTCAAGAAATATGGAATTATGTAAAGAGACCAAATCAATGATTCATTGGCAACCCTGAAGAAAAGGAGAGAAATCAAGCAATTTAGAAAGCATATGTGAGAATATTGTCCATGAAAACGTCCTCAACCTCACTAGAGTAGCTAACATTCAAATTTAGAAAATACAGAGAGCTTTTATACAAGACAAACATCTCCAAATGCTCCAAAGCACATACTTATCAGATTCTTCAAGGTCAAAATGAAAGAAAAAATGCTAAAGGCAGCTAGAGAGAAGGGTCAGGTCACCTACAAAGAGAACCCCATCAGGTTAACAGTGGAACTTTCAGCATAAATCCTACAAGCAAGAAGAGATTGGGGGTCTATATTCAGCATTCTTAAAGAAAAAAAATTCCAATGAAGAATTTCATATCCAGCCAAACTAACCTTTATAAGCAAAGGAGAAATAAAATCCTTTTCAGACAAGCAAATGCTAAGGGAATTCATTACCACCTGACGTGCCTTATGGGAGGTCTTTAAGAGAGTATTTAATATGAAAAGGAAAGACCATTACTGGCTGCCACAAAAGCAAATGTAAGAACTTTGACTACTGACACTATAAAGCAACCATACAATCATGTCTGCATAATAACCAGCTAAAAACACAATGTCTGGATCAAATCTGCACATATAAATATTAACCTTGAATGCAGACAGGTTAAATGTTCCAACTGAAAGACACAGAAATGCAAGTTGGAAATAGATGCAGGACCCAACTGTATGCTAACTTCAAAAGACCCATCTTTCATGCAACGATACTCATAGTTTCACATTAAAGGGATGGAGAAAAATCTACCAAGCTAATGGAAAACAAAAACAAACAAAACAAAGAGCATGGGTTGCTATTTTAACCTCAGAATAGTCTTTAAACCAACAATAACCAGAAAAGGCAAAGCCTTTTGTCCTTATATTAAAGGCAAAGCCTTTTGTTCTTACTAAAGGCAAAGCCTATAATGTCCTTACATTATATAATTGTAAGGGGTTCAATTCAACAAGAAGACCTGACTATTCTAAATATATGTGCACTCAACACAGGAGCACCCAGATTCATAAAGCAATTTTTCAGAGACCTATGAAGACACTTAGATAACCTTAAAATAACAGTGGGAGACTTCAATATCTTACCGACAATATCAGACAGATCATCAAGTTAAAAAACTAACAAAGATATTCAGAACCAGATATTCAGAGCTTGACACTTGACCAAATAGGCCTAACAGACATCTATAGACTCTGTACCTAAAAACAACAGAATATACATTGTTCTCATCTGCACATAGCATATACTCTAAAATCAGCCATACATTCAGCCATAAAATCATCCTCAGCAAACTCAAAAAACCGAAATCATACCAAAAACACTTTTGGACCATTACACAATAAAAACATATATCGATACTAAGATATCAAACCCATGCAATTACATGGAAATTAAACAACATACTCCTGAATTACTTTTGGGTAAACAACAAAATTAAGGCAGAAATCAAGAAATTATTTGAAATGAATGAAAACAAAGATAAAACATACCAGAATCTCTGAGACACTGCTGAAGCGATGTTAAGAGGGGAGTTTATGGCATTGAAAGCTCACATAAAAAAGTTAGAAAGACCTCAAACTAACAACGTAACATCACACCTAGAGTAACTAGAGAAACAAGAGCAAACTAACCCCAAAGGTAGCAGAAGACAAGAAATAACCAAAATCAGAGCTGAACTGAAGAATGTTGATCTTTTTTATAAAAAAAAAATAACAAAACATCAATGAACCTAGGAGTTTGTTTTCTGAAAGAATAAATAAAATTGATAGACACTAGCTAGACTAATGAAGAAAAAAAAAAGATCCAAATAAACACAATGAAAAACGACAAAAGGTACATTACCACTGACCCTACAGAAATCCAAAAAAGTCATCAGAGACTATTGTGAACACCTCTATGCACACAACTAGAAAACCTAGAAGAAACAGATAAATTTATGTAAACATACAATCTCCCAATAGTTAACCAGGAAGAAATTCGATCCATGAACAGACCAATAATGAGTTCCAAAATTGACTCAGTAATAAAAAGCCTACCAATCAGAAAAATCCCAGAATTAGATGGAATCATAGTTGAATTCTACCAGCTGTATAAAGAAGAACTGCTACCATTCCTACTGAAACTATCTCAAAAAATTGAGGTACAGGGACTATTCCCTAACTTACTCTACAAGGCCAACATCATCCTGATACCAAAACCTGGCAGAGATACAACACAAAGAGAAAACTACAGGCAAATAGTTTTTATGAAAATTGATGCAAAATTTCTCAACAAAATACTAGCAAACTGTATCAAGCAGCACATCTACAAGGAAATCCACCATGATCAGGTAGGCTTTATCTCCAGGATGCAAGATTAGTTAAACATACTCAAATCCATAAATGTGATTCATGACATAAACAATTAAAAATAAAACCCACATGATCATCTTAATAGATGAAGAAATGCTTTCAATAAGATTCAACATCCCTTTGTGTTAAGAACCCTCAACAAACTAGGCATTGAAAGAACATGCCTCAAAATAATAAGAACCATCTGAAACCCATAGCCAACATCATTCTGAATGGGCAAAAGCTGGAAGCATTCTTGAGAAATGAAACAAGATAAGGATGCCCACTCTAAGCACTTATATACAGCATAGTACTGGAAGATGTAGCCAAAGCAATCAGGCAAAAGAAAAACATAAATGGCATCAGAGAAACCAGAGAAAGTAAAACTATCTCTGTTTGCAGATTATATGATTCTCTACTTAGGAAACCCCATAGTCTTTGCTGACAAGCTCCTATGTCTGACAAACAACTTCAGCAAAGTTTTGGGGTACACAATCAATGTATAGAAATCAATCAATAGCATTTCTCTATACCAACAATGTGCAAGCTGAGAGCCAAACAAAAAATACAATCCTTCTTACAATAACCACAAAAGGAATAATACACCTAGGAATACAGCTAATAAGGGAAGCGTAAGATCTCTACAATGAAAATTACAAAGCACTGTTCAAAGAAATCAGAGATGACACAAACAAATGCAAAAGCATTCCATGCTCATGGAACCAATATTGCTAGAAAGACTTCACTGCCAGAACCCCTTTACAGATTTAATGCTATTCCTATCAAGCTACCAACAACATTCTTCACAGAATTAGAAAAAAATATTTTAAAGTTTATATGAAATCCAAAAAAGAGTCTGAATAGCCAAGGCAATCTTACGCAAAAAGAACAAATCTGAAGGCATCATGTTACCCAACTTCAAAGAATACTGCAATGCTAGAGTAATCAAAACAGCATGGTACTGGTACAAAAACAGACACATAGACCAATGGAACAGAAGAGAGACTCCAGAAATAAAGCTGCCCACCTACAACCATCTGATCTTTGACAAAGTTGACAAAAACAAGCAATGAAGAAATGGCTCCATATTCAATAAATGCTGCGGGGATAACTGGCTAGCCAAATGCAGAAGAATGAAACTGGACCCCTTCCTTACATCGTATAGGAAAATCAATTCAAGATGTATTAAAGACTTAAATGTAAAACTTTAAACTATAAAAACCCTGGAAGATAACCCTGGAAATACCATTTTGGATACAGGCCCTGGAAAAGATTTCATGATGAAGGCGCCGAAAGCAATTGCACCAAAAGAAAAAATTGACAAATGGAAACTAATTAAACTGAAGAGTTTCTGCACAACAAAAGAAACCATCAACAAAGTAAACAGACAACCTACAGAATGGGAGAAGGTATTTGTAACTATGCATCTAAAAAAAGTCTAATACGTAGAATCAATAAGAAACTTAAACAAAATAACAAGCAAAAAACCCCAACCCCATTAAAAAGTGGGCAAAGGATATGAACATACAAAAGAACTTTCAAAAGAAGACATATATGCAGCCAACAAGCACATGAAAAAACTCCCAATATCACTAACCATTAGAGAAATGCAAACCAAAACCACAGTGAGATACCAT